TATTTTAACGACCCTCGAATCGCAAAAATTGATTTTCATCAAAAGTATGATATGCATTCAGATTCGGCAGAGTGAACGATGCTCGCGTTATTATCTCAAATCCTCAACTTGGTTATCAACGTATGTTGTTTATCTTCGCTAAGTATCCGGCTCTCATAACGGCTATGGTTGCGCTGTGGTGCATAACTGGCCGCGGACAGGACATGAAGAAAACAAAGACCGAAAATGTGAGCGACCATATCTGCTCAATTTCCTTCAATATTTTTTAAAATTACTGTTTCAGGCAGCGTATTACATCTCACTGATAATGGCATTCGTTGTACTGCTTTCGCAATTGCCGGCCAGTATTCAGCATCATTATTCGCTTAAAAGAGTCAAAATGCTGGTTAGGCGTACTGTAACCAAGAAAATCGTTATCGTATTAATACGCCTAATTCAGAGCTATTTTTGCCATGGCTCCATGGTATTCACGAGTTTGCTTGCTCTATTGGTGATACTATTTGCTTCGCTTAACTTCAAAGAATACACCGGCAAAGGGTAATGCTCAAAAATTATAAAGCTTTGAGGTTGTCACTTACCTTTTTCTAGGAATGAGACGACAAAAGAATGTAAATATACAGAACAGTGCTATACTTATTCGGAAAGAGTTGCGTATTTGGGTACGCTTGTTGGATGCAGTGTTGTGATAATATCTTTTGCCATCGACACATTTGTGTATGGAGGTTTTGGTAAGCCTCTCACTCTATTGTTTGCTGTAAAACAGTAGATTACTTTTGCCTAAATCCGACTTCGCTATTTGAATTTGTGCTTCCAATTTTCATGAAAGCCAAAGCACTAAAGGATCATTTTTCAGGTCTGGCCCGCCTGAGGAGACGAAGGGTAGTAGAAGGCTAGCTCCGCTAAGTAATTCAAAACACGTCACAACGTTGTTTTCAACAGTAGAAGTCCTTATTCAACGTGAAATTCTAAATAAATTAAAATGAAGTCTCGTTTTGTGGTTGCAAACTAGCATCAAGTCTAGGAAAAAATAATACCCTCACTTAATTTGGTGCATTGTGTTGGGTTAACGCCGAAATGATACCCGTTTTTCCATTGTTTCAGGACAAATTTTTCATGAAATTTTCTCCTTTGGGAAAACTTAGCAGACTACCAAGAAGCTTGTTGAAGCTTGTTCTATTCAATACTGGTACAAGCGGGCTGCTAGCCTCATTCCTTGAACATTTATAGAATTACAACCGCTGAAAACAAAATTTTATGGCACATATTCTACGTGCTACAACTGGTGAATCTGATTCAAACTTACCTGAATCAGAGCTTTAACTTACTTGAGTCTTCCTTCTGCTTGACTTCGGGTTCCGCACTTTCGACGGCACAGCAATTAACGTTCGCATTAATTTTCCTCGGTTGACACAGGCTCACTTGCCGGCTCTGCGACTACATTTTCAAGGGAGTATATTATGGCTCTGTTGATAAACAGCTCATACAGCCCGCCTTACTGATATTCAATCATGCCGCACCTCGTATGTGTACTTCCTCTTACGGTCTTTCCTACACACTACATAAAGTCAATTTTATCTGAATTTCAAATTAGAACCGTTCAGGTTTCACTTTCGCCATCTTAGCCGTGCATATCCCTCCACTATGAGATGACATGTATGATTTTATTTCGAAAATCAATCACGTCTATGACTGTGCGACTTTATACAGAGAGAAGACTCATAGACGAATGTCTTCTAGGCTAAGGTCCAAGCCATGTTAATGTCAAACGTCAAACCTGCCCACCCACCTC